ACAGAAAACTGTTTTACGAGCGGGTTGTATACAGTTTTGTACTGTAAAATTATTTAAATGATTTTAAATTTTATTTTATATTATTTTTAAAAAAATATTTTAGTAATTTTATAAAATGAACTGTATACAGTTCGTCCTGTAAAATATATTTTTTATTTTTTAAATAATTTTTATGAGAAAAATATAAAAATATTTTAATATTAAAAATATTAATATATTTAATAATAATTACATGATAAATTTAATAAATTTAAAATTTATATTATATTTTATACATTTAATAATTGTGATTAAACATTCTAACATTTTTAATATTAAGACATCTTAAATTTTCTTTTTTTTTTTCTATTTATTTTTAGAACACAAATCTTTCTTCTTCTTTTTTTTTGGTACTTATTCGGGTATTAAGAGTTTATCCTCAATTTCCGATCCACTGAATAGAGTTTGTACCCTTTCTTTTTCTTTTAATTTTTTAAGCTGCATAATAAAAGTAACCTTCTCACATTGCATTTTGATCCACTCAACCTACATGGTTAAGACACGAACCCACTAAAAAATGATTATCTTTAGGTCATGTAGGTCATTGGAGCACAAAGATAATACAAATTTAAACATACTTAACGTAATACATATAGTTGATAGAGGACTTTCATATACATTATTCACGCACATATATACTACACATGACTACTATTATTGACGACTTACAAAAAGAGTGATTTTAAAGTTAGAGATTTATCATGGATTAGAAGGACATTCCAAAAGGGATACTTGAATGATACCTCGGCGAAATCACCCAACAAGCAATTTAAACTCAAACTCATACCTCTGCAATTCAGTACCTATCCTCTGTCTTCAACAGACCTTTCACTAGCATCTATAAAATTATAAACGGGTGCCTCAAAATCCCACCAGAATGCTGCACCAATCTAAACCAAGGAACCCTATGAACCTGGCTGGAATGTCATCAATTGACAATTAGTAGCTTTTATTGATTGAGCCCCCTGACTGCCACAATACAAAACTTTATCTGCTCCCTCAGACAAAGTCAATCTTTTAATCTCAGCCACCATACCAGAATATCTCCTTCCAAAACTAGTTGGTACCTGCCATCCAGATGGTCCCCACCCGGAACTTTTGTTTCATGCCCACGGTGATCTCAGCCATATTTTACAGCCTATAACGAATTCCATCTCCTGATAGCCAACAATCATAAAAAAGGGAGGTTTGTCTACCATCCCCAACTTCAATACTAACACGATCTCTCATCACCTTTTCAACCGAAGGATCTTTCTTACAGACCATGCACAATCCTGTGGACACATTAATTTTAGTTCATTTCATTTTGATATTTCTAATCATGAAACTGGACTTCTATATTATCAAGTTTTGATATATGTCTATCTGTTGCTAAAATCATCCGTTTCTCTCTTGATATGTGCAGGTGTTAGCCTAGCGTTGGGACTAGTATGTTTACCTATTGGTAAAAGGCAGTCGTACAAACTTTTAAAGAAGAAAATGAAAAAGAAGCTTCAAAGGCAGTTCTTCAAACAAAATGGACGTTTATTATTGCAGCAACAACTGTCTTCAACTGAGGGTAATATTGAAAAGACCAAAATATTTAGTACAGAGCAGTTGGAGAGAGCAACTAACAAATTCAACAGGAATAGAATACTAGGTCAGGGAGGCCAGGGCACTGTTTATGAAGGAATGTTGGTTGATGGAAGAATTGTTGCAGTTAAGAAGTGCAAAGAATTGGACAAAGAGAAAGTTAAAGAGTTCATCAATGAGGTGGTCATTCTTACACATTAATCACAAAAACATTGTTGAGTTATTAGACTGTTGTTTGAAGACTGAAGTTCCTCTGCTAGTTTATGAATTCATCCCCAATGGAACACTTTTCCAGTATATACATGATCAAAATGACGCCTTCCCATTAACCTGGGAAAGACAAGTAACAATTACAGCAGAAGTTGCAAGTGCACTTTACTACTTCCACTCAGCAGCCTCCATTGCCATTTATCATAGAGATGTTAAGTCCTCAAATATTCTAATGGATGGAGAGTTGCAGACTTTGGGACATCAAGATCAATTGCCATTGATCAAACTCATTTGACCACAAATGTGAAGGGCAAATTTGGGTACCTAGACCCCAAATATTTCCAATCAAGTCAATTTACAGAAAAAAAGTGATGTTTACAGCTTTGAAGTCATCCTTGTTGAGCTCTTAACTGGAGAAAAACCAATTTCTTTAGCAGGAGCAGAGGAAGAGGAAACAAGAAGTTTGGCCTCTCATTTTATTCTTCCCATGGATGAGAATAGTCTCTTTAATATTCTTGATGCTCAATTAGGGGAGACTTCTGCACATGAAGAGATAACAAAGGTTGCTAAACTTGCATATTGATGCTTGAGCTTGAGTGGTAGAAAGTGGCCAAAGATGATAGAAGTTGCTGCGGAGTTGGAACAGATTCATCTTTCACAATAACTATATAAATGGTCAACAAAATCATGAAGAGGTTAGGTATGTCCAAATTGTAGTAACCAATCTTTGGGGTGGTGCCTCGACTTCAACAGGTTCAGGCTTGGACTCTGGAGTTGCTTTGTCGTTAGACATGGAGTCATGAATGTCCAGTGAATCATGGGGACTTAACTGACTTATCCTAAAATGCATTTATTCCATGTAGGGGAGTGTAATAAGTTCTATTCTTTTTTGTGTCTGAAAATTTTTAGTTCATTTAATTTTTATTTTTGTCACTTTGTAGTTCAAAGTTCATATAAAGTTTGCACAACTTGGTTACAATAGTTTGATATAATGACAGGCTAAAGTATTATTGAACCATTTCCTTTTCACATTTAAATTCATTTTTGTCTTACAAAAACTTGACAGGGTTAAATCAAGTCCCAACACATGATAAATGACACATATCCCTTAGATTTGGTGCTATATGAGCATGAATTATTTAATCATATTCCTAAAAAGCTAGCACAAAGTCATTTCCTAATTCCAGTTCAACTATCCTGAACTTTTCACCACTCAAGACAAATTTATCTTAGCAGTGAATTTGCAGTCAGTGAAGCATTGAGCATATTTCCTTGCTTGGTTCTTCTTTTGAAAGTATGAGTACAAATGTTTTAAAGGAAAAAATAGTTATTCACGCCTTCAGCATTAACAAACAATCATCAGGCTAGCATGAAATACCCTTAACTTCCGTATAGCTAAAAGACCATATTGTAAGATAACAAGGTAATTATTGCACTGAAAACCCAGGTAATAAGACTTACCTGTGTGCAGAAGTGCCAAAGTAGACAGTTATTCCCTTGAAATAGCCTTGCAAGTAGTTTTCTTCTATCTACACGTTCGAAATAAGCATCATAAGACAAGAAGAGGCCTATCTTCTGCCATGCATGATATTGAGAACCAACATGACATACCTCAAGCATCAAAGGAGGAGAAGACAACCATGAAAGTTCCTCAACTTGGTTTAGGTTCACATTCCGAGGTAAAAACATAATGACATTAGGCGTTATCCTCTGAGCAGCTTGAAATATTGAGTATCTACAGGATATCTTGCAATCAAACATACAACAGAGTGACTCAAAATTCAAAATGAAATGGGCATGTTACAAGCATCAACTAAATAACGAGAATAACATAAACAAAGATACATCACAAATGGTTTATCCTACTCGATTCCAATCCAAGTGATATTTTAGTCTGCCAAAGAGACTCAGCATGAAATATTATACATATATACATCTTTGCTTATGTTTAATGATTACTTTAAATTTTAAGAAACAAAAAATCATAACTCATCAATAACAAAACCAAGAAGTCGTTTGGCTTAGCTTATTTCTATGTTATGAAAATCATAAGGTTTTGAAAACTTAAAAGAGGAAGTTCAAAATTATTTAAGCTTGGATGAACAAATTGTGGTTAAAAATTTTAACTAAGCATAATTTAACTGGATATCAGTCATTCAGAATCTAATAGTAATGTTTACAAGATTATTGAGTCTGCAAATTTTGAAATCACTTGATGCCTTCTCTTTAAACCATTGCATTAAAAAATGAGAACATGCAGGCAGCAGGAAATAAATGTTAAACAAGTCTCTCAAATTTGAACAGAACAGAAAAAAACCCAGAAACAATCACACAAATGCACACATACCCATCTTTTGGCTTCAGTAAATCCATGGTGAAACTCTGGATTGTTTTATATGATGGACCCCCCCAAGGTGGTGAAACAAATACGACATCCCCCTAAAAACAGAAAAGAAAGTTGAATTAGGATTGGAACTACTTAAGATCAGTTAGAAAGTCCTAGTCACCCTACATATTAAAATTCTGCAAGGAAAAAGAAAATATAACCCAATCCCTATGGTAAAAAGGAATTTTTAAAAAAAATCAAAATGCTACTCAAATACTTTAATTTAAGTATTGCAGATGCAAAACTTCTTAAGTTTCATCTCGTCTAAACTCTGTAAAGCTTATTATTGGGAATGTGTCAATAAACATCAATTAACAAAAAAAGCAAACCACTTAATTAGTTAAGTTCAACCCTAACATAAACATTATCCAAAATTGGCAGCAATAATGAAAACAGAAGAAAGTACCTTCAAGTAAGGAGCAAGTTAGAAAAAGTCTCCCATAATAAAATCAATATAATCTTCCACTCCATATATACTTGCATTATTGAAAGCCATTACAACTTTTCGAGGGTCAATGTCTATAGCAACACCAAATTGGCACCTAAAAATTTAAAACTACATGTTAGGAGACTCCTATATGGTGAAGGAGTATAGAGTTGATATGTATAGAATAAAATTATAATATGAGTTCAAGCAAATTTACAACTACAAGTCAGTCATCAAGATAAACAAAATTCAAAAATACTTGTGCATGATATAAAGAGTTTCAGATGTTCAATTGGAAGGCTACCTGGATGATAAAACCATGGTGCCTTCTTATTGTACTGAAACAAAAATGTTCAATTGGAA